TTATCTTTATATTTATATATAAAAATATAATAATTATTATTATTAACATATTCATCATGTCATCGTCACCTATAATAATTATACATTATATTTTATATTTATCTTTATATTTATTCGTTTTACAGTCTTTTTAATCATAATTAATATACAAAATAAAAATAAAATTTATTTCAAAAATTAATTTCTTGATCTAATCAATATTATCAAAATATTTATTTGACATAATAATATTATTTTATACACTCAACAATCGGGGTATTACACCCATGGACCCAGATCAGCAGAAGTTGTCCCCCAAGGCAGGTTCGGAAGTGGGCGGATGTCCCCCTAGTCATCCCAAGAGCCGGAGGAGCGGCCGGAAGTGTTGAGGTCGTGGTCGGCCATGCCCTCCAAGGGTCAACAGTTCCCCCTCCGGCAGGGGCATTCCCTTGACCGTTCGCCCCCGTGTGTGATGTGGGTCCGCTCACGCCACCGAACAAACGATTGTTTTGTCATTGGGATGCCGGTGGTGCATACCCGTTGCCCCTGGATGTCCCTGATGTGGCGGCGGCCTTAAGGTGGCCTGCCCAGGTCCTTCAGCCACTGCTTCATTTAAAAGGTTCTTATTTTCGTCTCATTTGTTTAGTATGGTGACTTTACCATACTGGAACATCGTTGGAGGATGTCCAGACGTGCCCCCCTGTGCGACCTTCGCCAGAGAAGCATTTTCATTATCTCCAGACCTGGCCACCGGATCCTTGTCTTTACGTATCTCTTCGTCCCTTGCCCATGCAATCTCGTTCTTGATTGTTGGCTTGAGGATATCGACGAGATATTGAGAGTGAATCAAGGCCGATTCATGGAAGACTGCTTGGATTTTCTCGCGAATATGATTTTATAGGACTTTGGCTAGGAAGGTGACCATCCGTTCCTCATTTCCCCAAGCAGCGGAGGATTCATCGTGCGTGACTTCTCCGGAGATGTGTGGGGTTGAGGTTTCGTCGGAGATTTCCATTTCCTTAGACATCGTAACTTTCTCCGGCGATCGTAATTTGCAACTTCTCAATTGCACAAAGAGAGCGAGATTCGTCAGAGCCCCACTGGACGTGCCAATCTTTTATTGCTGAAAATCGTCGATGATGGCCCAATAAAATTAGGCCAGTCAAAATCAACAAGAGTTGAGTTCCCCGGCCTACTCAAGAAAATATCCGGACTAGTCTGACAATAAAAAAATAAATCGATCTAAATATGCAGAAATAATGTGCTGAATTATGGAGAAGAACCGTACAATCAGATAAGAAATTAAATTGAATAGAATGAACGATTTCAAAAAAAAAAATAATAGAAACAAAAAATTCAGAGATAAGAAAATATTTGTGCACGAATGGAAATAGAATAATATAATCTTTTTTAGTAAAAATAAAAAAAAAATATAATAGATAATTAAAAAATACACACATAATACAAATAATAACACAAAACATATTTTATATAATAAAGTATATAATAATTTTCTACATGAATGCTCAAAATATTCTTTCAAAATAAAAAAAAATAAATTAAAACTTCAACATAATTTATAAAATTAAAATATACTATTATAATATAACACTCGCAACCAAATCAATTAGGAAAAAACACATAAAATAAAGATAAAAAAATATTAATTAGTAGAAAATAAAATTAACACAATAAATAATTAAATATATATAATATTAATTATAATCAAATAAATAAATAAATAAAGTATCATATTTGACCGTTGCCCATCATTTATTTATTTTTTTTTTCTTTCCTTAATTGATTCATATATGATAAAAATATAAATTAATTAATTTAATATTAAAATATATTATTATTTTTATTGTATAAATTTTTTCTAATATTTCTTCAAATCGAAATATTTGAAATCTAAACATAATATACAAAATTTAAAATTTTCATAATATAATACTCGAAATTATAATATTTTTTTAAAAAAAAAACACATACACATTGTGTTCTTTTTTGCTTCTTTCTTTTTACGAAATATCTTTTCTTTTTTTTCCACATCACAAATTGAATATTAGAATTGATTAGTAAAAACTAAAAAGAATACATAATAATAAAAATAATAGAATCAATATAATACGGTAGTGAATTTCTGCATAATCAAGTATAAGATTTTAAAAATTAAACAAAATATTTTCTTGTAAGAATGTCACTATATATTAATATAAAAACACAATATCATTTCAAGAATATAAAGAATGATAACATTTATATTCAGAAATAACATATGAAAGAGATACAATAAATTTTAACCTGAAAAATCTTTTAAAATAAAGAAACAAATCACAGGACTGCCAGACCAAAAAATAAAATCTACTATGATAAATTGTATATAAGAGTCCTTCAAGAATGTGAGTAAACACACCCCAATCTCCACTAAATCAATCAACGAAAATCACGAACTTAAGAAAAATCAAGATCAAGAAACACTACAAAAAAATAATATATTTGTAACAGAATTCCGTCCCTAAAGTTCACGTAGCTAACGTAATTCCATTACTAATTCCGTCTCTAATGTCATTAGTAACGGAAAAAATAGACTTAGAGACAAAAAAATTTTGTTACAAAAATGATTTTTTCTTGTAGTGAAAATGAACCTAAAAAAATTGTCACATTTTGTAGAATTATGGTTGAACTACAAACATTCGATCGCAAATCCTACCGTTGGATTGGAAAAGAAATGAATCACGAGCACTCTCTGAAAATTTCAACTTAATCCGACGGTTAATAAAGCGAGAATAGATATTTTTTCAAACCTGTGCAGTCTTGGGCGGAAACTATTTTCTCACTTTTTTGTAGACAATTTTGACTTCGTTATTTGGTTTCCTCTCTTCAATTGTGATGACTACAACTCTAGTATTTGATTAGATTGGACTTTCTATAATTTGAATTTACTAAATCTACCAATATTTTATTCTAACAAACTTTAAATTTATCCGAGTATTTGTTTTTCTAATATATATATATATGATTATAGCAACAAACTCTAATTCTATCTAAAATAATTTTTTTTTTTTAAAAAAAAAAATAATGTTACAAGTTATCCAAATGCAATATTAAAAAATAAAATATTTATAGAAAATTATGTTGTGGGAATTACAATCCCTTGTCATATATATATATATATATATCAAATTAAACATATGAAAGATATACAATAATTTTTTATGTGGAAAATACTTCAAGGTAAAGAGAAAAAACTACATATCGTTTAGACCATGGAAGAAATTTACTATGATCAAATTGAATATAAGAGTTCTTAAAAAATGCATATAAATATGTCATAATCACTACTCAATCAATCAAGATCAAGAAGACAATCCACCAGCACGTTGATGGCCATAGCTTCGTTGGAAGTACTATAGCCATTTCCGGCCTCAAAAGGAAGCATAAGGTAGCCATTTCATGTTGGAATATATGGGTATTGCGAGAATAAACTCTAACGTGAAACCGAGTCGAGGATAGATCTTCTTTTCAAAAATTAGATACGCCCCGATAGTGCCTCTGGTGACCGGTGTTCTAACCCAAAGATAAAACGATTTCCGTCTCCAATGAGAGTGGCATCTCTAATCGTTGGAGCTCCGGCGAACAAAAACGAGAGAGGAACTGAGCTGGGGAGGTTGTCGGAAAGCTATAAGAGATGAGAGAAGGAGGGAAGAATTGTTGATGTTGGTTTATAGAATGAAAGATGAGTCCTTTATATAGGCGTCTCCACTCGGCCAAAATGGCAGGGGATCAATTACGATCATAATTACGACTTTAATTATCTATGTAATTTATTCTAAATTCAAATCTTCCGTTTGAAGTAGTCGTAATTGATTCTAATTACAAACTTTTCGTTTGTGACGATCGTAATTTATTCTAATTTCAAACCTTCAATTTGAAAAGACTGTAATTTATTCTAATTTTAAACTTTCCGTTTGAGATTATAATATATCTATCCAGCGGATAATATTTTATCCAAATAATACTGCGATTTAGGCCATATACCCGGGTTTAATATGGGGTTGCACAATTTGGTTTGTCTCGAGACAGGCAAAATAGCCAAAATATTAATCAAACCCCATATACAATAAATAAATACTATTTATTTATTTCTTCCAAATTAATTAGATTAATTTGGTACACCGGCCCGTCGCATTTTCACTCACAAAATAATCGATTATCCAACAATCCCTTACATTAGTGGAAATGCCCATAAAGGACAGAAATCCAGCTCAATCCCTGTGAGACATTGACACATCAGAACATGTAATTTTTGGCTTTGAACCTTCCATAGTCAACATTGCAGAGTGTACCGGTGGCCCAGTTGACATGATGCATTGAACTGTTCCACATCTGCGTGCACTTAGTCATAATATTGATGTGTCGCTATCTTAGTCTCAACTTTGTTCTCACGTTTTGATCAATTTTGGCCATGGATCTCGTCTTTGGATTCATAAGTGTTTCATTTGAAGCGGCTCACACTTCACACTTATATAGGTAATCCTATATCAAGGTATCTAACTCACACCTTTAGGACCATTAAGAGTCATTGACTCAACCTCATCACTTTTGCACATTATAACACTCATTGCTTTTCAGGAAATTGTAATTGAGTGTTCGTGCCGGACTCGTACAGTTTAGTTTTTCCATTGAACCTAGGTTTAAGATTTCCAAGTGATTTGGTTTGGTTACAACTGTAATTGTCTCTATTTTGTGGATTTCAAACCCATTCCCTTTAGCAGTTTGTACATTTGATCTCTTTGCAACCCTTTGGTTAGCGGATTCGCTAGGTTTTCTATTGATTTTACATATTCAATAGTCAAAACCCCACTGGTGATCAAATGTCTTACAGTGTTATGTCTACGTCGGATATGTCAGGATTTACCGTTATAAATTTCATTCTTAGCCCTTGCTATTGTAGCTTGGCTATCGCAGTAAATCATTACGGGAGGTACTGGTTTAGTTCAGTATGTAATATCATCCATTCAGTTCCTCAGCCATTCGGCTTCTTTGCCAGCTTTGTCTAAGGTGATGAACTCTAATTCCATTGTGGACCATGCAATGCATGTCTGTTTTGTGGATTTCCACGAGACAGCTCCTCCTCCAATCGTAAATACATATCCATTTGTAGATAGTGAGTCTTTTGCATCGGATATCCAATTGGCATCGTAGTACCCTTCGAGTACCGGTGGATATTTCGCATAGTGTATGCCAAAATTCAGAGTAAATTTAAGATAACTTAATACTCTTACTAGCGCTTTCCAGTGTTCATGACTGGGGATGCTAATGTATCGACTCAGCTTGTTTACAGGGCAAGTCAGGTCAGGCCTTGTACAATTTGTTAAGTACATTAGGCTTCCAATAATTTTGGCATAATCTTCTTGAGCTACAGGGTCTCCCCTATTCTTGCTCAAGTGTACGCTGAGGTCCATTGAGGTTTTCACTGGAGTGTTTTTATAGGCATTGAATTTTCTCAGTAGCTTTTCCACATAATGAGGTTGAGTCAGAACAATACCTTCATCTTGTCTTAAAATCTTTATTCATAGGATGACGTTAGCTAGCCCCAAATCTTTCATGTCGAAGTTACGACTCAACATTCATTTAACTACATTGATCAGACTGACCTCTTTATCCATGATTAGTAGGTCGTCTACATATAGACATATTATGAGAAAACCGGAAGGTGTTTCTTTGATGTAGACACATTTGTCACACTCGTTTATTTTGAAACCATTTGATAACATACCATTATTGAATCTCAAGTGCCATTGTAAAGGTGCTTGTTTCAGCCCGTACAAAGACTTTATCAGTTTTCACACCATTTTCTCTTGGCTACGAACGACATATCCTTCCGATTGTTCCGTATATACCTCTTAGTCTAATTCACCATTTAGAAAAGCAGTCTTCACATCCATTTGGTGAATCTCAAGATTGTTCAAAGATGCAATCGAAAGAAGTATTCAAATGGATCTTATCCTGGTTACTGGTGAATATATGTCAAAGAAGTCAAATCCTTCGGTTTGTCTGTAGCCCCTTACTACAAGACGGGCTTTGTATTTGTTAATAGACCCATCAGCCTTAAGTTTTTTTTTTTCAAAATCCATTTACACCCTAGTGGTTTGCTACATTGGGTAGGTCAAATAACACCCAAGTGTTATTATGCATTATTAAGTCTATTTCACTATTTATTGCTTCCTTCCAAAAAGGAGCATCAGGACTAGATACTACTTCCTTGATCATTGTTGGATCATTTTCGGATCATTGTCTAACATATACGTAACAAAATCCGGACCAAAGGTTTTCTTGACCCTTGTCCTTTTTCTACGCCTAGGTTCTGAAGCCTCTTGATCAGGGCTATTGGCCATTTGTCTCTTTACGCCCCGTAGTTCTTCATCTACGGATTTTGGGTTTGACTACACCCTTTCCTTACAAGGGTAGATATTTTCAAAGAATGTGGCATTCCTTGATTCTACCGTAGTTCCCTCGGTCATCCTAGGGATTTCCGATTTATGAACCATGAAACGATAAGCACTACTATTTAGTGCGTATCCGATAAATATGCAATCTACCGTTTTTGGGCCGATAACGACTTGCTTTCGAGGCGGAACTTTCACTTTTGCTAGGCACCCCTACACTTTAAAGTATTTGTATGTGGGTTTCTTGCCTTTCCATAGTTCGTAAGGGGTGGCATCCATACCCTTAAGTGGAATTTGTTCATGATATAATTTTCAGTCAGTACCGCCTCCCCTCATAGGTTTTGGAGAAGTCCTGAACTTATCAACAAGGTATTCATCATTTCCTTAAGTGTTCGGTTTTTGCGTTCTGCAACGCCTTTCAATTGAGGTGAATATGGAGCCGTTGTCTGATGAATTATGCCACTTTTGTTACATAATTCTGCAAACGGGGCCACATATTCGCCACCTCTATCACTTCGAACTATCTTGATTTTACAGTCAAGTTGATTTTCTGCCTCGGTTTTGAAGTTCTTGAAGGCTTCGATTGCTTCGCTCTTTTCCCTTAATAGGTAAAGATAGCAATACTTTGTGCTGTCATCGATAAAGGTGATGAAATATTTCTTTCCACCTCTAGTTTGCACAAGTTTTAAACCACATACATCGGTGTGAATTAACTTTAATGGCTTAGTCTTCTTTTCGACAGACGAGAAGGGTAATTTTGCCATTTTGGCCTACACGCAAACTTCACACTTTTTTTGAGTGTTCACCTCTTTTATATTTAGCGAATTCATATTTACTAATATTTTTATAGCATTTAGGTTTACATGACCTAATCTACAATGCCATAAATCAGAACACTCAATCAAGTATGAATAAGAATAAATATTTTTATTATCAGTAGGTGGTGCTCGGCACACGGCCATTACATTTAATTTGAACATCGCATTTTTAAGACAACCCCTAGCTAGGAACATCTTGTTTTTCGATAATATAAATTTATCTGCTACAAAGACAAGTTTAAAACCATGCCTAACTAGTAGCGATCCTGAGACGAGATTTTTCCGAATGTCTGGCACATGCAGGACTCATTTCAGGGTTAGTTCTTTGCCAGAGGTCATCTTCATTACCACGTTTCCTACGCCTTGGACCTCAGAAGTTGTGTGATTTACCATGTGCAACTTTCTCCCTTCGGTCTCCTTATAGGTCGAGAAGTTTGTTTTGTTGGAGCAAACATGGCAGGTTGCTCCGTTGTCAATATACCAAGCTCTTGGACTTTCCACATTATTTGTTTCATATAAAACAGCGACAAGGTCGTCACTATTGAGATCACGTTCAGTCCAGTGGCTCGTCTCGACTAGTTGGGAACTCGGCTTTTTTTTCGGTGCCTTGTAGTCCTTAACCTGGTTTCCTATTTTACCACAGTTACTTGTAAACTTGGACTCTTTTGCTTTGCTCTTGTCCGTTTGAGTTGGGCGTGCACGTTTTTTGGCGGGATCTCCAACCAAGTTGGCTTTAGCAATATCTCCACTTTTGGCTTTGTGCTGCTTTCTGTTGTCTTCCTCTATCCGGATTCGAACAATCAAATCTTCAAGTCCCACTTGCTTTAGCTCATACTTCAGCCTGTGTTTGAAGTTGCTCCAACTCGGGGGGAATTTCTCGATCATCACACTCATGATGAACTTTTCTGTCAGTGGCATCTCCTCGTCGATAACAAAGTGAACAACATGTTGAAATTCTTCCACTTGTTCGACAATAGACTTGCCATCTACCATCTTGTAGTCCATAAATCGGGCCACAACAAATATTTTAGACCCGGCATTCTCGGACTTATATTTTTTCTCAAGGGCATCCCACAACCCTTTCGCACTCTTTACTTTGCAATATACATTATAAAGAGAGTTAGAGACTACCTAATATAGTATTTATTGTCTTGTAGTCTTCGTGTGTCCACGATGCATAATTCGCATGCATCTGTTGGTCCGTACCGAGCTCTGGGGTGATTGGGCCATCATACAATACGAAGATGGCACATTCAATCGTAGTCAAGTAGAAGAGCAGCTTCTCCTGCCACCTCTTAAATTCCACTCCCGTGAATGGTTGTAGAACTTGTACATGGGGCATCATCTGTAGGCCAAGCCCAGGACCAACATTTTGGGCCGCGAATGAAGCAGAGGGTGCGGCCACAAACCCAGAAAATCCCCCAAATCGCCCAGGGGCAAATCCAGAAAACATAGGGCTACCCATAAAGGGAACTAGCCCAAGTGGAGGAGCGACTACCTTGTCTGCGGCTCCAGCGGTGGTTCCGGCGACTCCTCCGTCGGAGGCTCCGGCATTTCCTCCGAAGGAGAGTCCGGTGACTTTTCCGGCGGCGATTCCGGCAGTTCCTCCGATAGAGGCTCCGAAAACTCCTCCGATGACTTTTCCGGCAGTGGCTCCGGCGGAGACTTCGGCAGAGGTTGACATTCTTGCAAAGTACTATCTAATTTTTTATTGTTGGGATATATGGGTATTGCAAAAATAAACTCTACCGTGAAACTGAGTCGAAGATGGATCCTCTTTCCAAAAATTAAATACGGCCCAGTAGTGCCTTCGGTGGTTGGCATTCTAACCCAAAGATAAAACGGTTTACGTCTCTAATGAGAGTGGCACCTCTAATAATTGAAGCTTCGGCGAACAAAAATGAGAGAGGAACTGAGCTGGGGAGGTTGTCGGAAAGCTAGAAGAGATGAGAGAAGGAGGAGAGAATTTTTGATGTTGGTTTTTAGAATGAAGGGGGGAGCCCTTTATTTAGGCGTCTCCACTCAGCCAAAATGGCAGGGGATCAATTACGATCATGATTACGATCTTAATTATCGATGTAATTTATTCTAAATTAAAACATTCCATTTGAAGCAGTCGTAATTGATTCTAATTACAAACATTTTGTTTGTGACGATCGTAATTTATTTTAATTTCAAACCTTCTGTTTGAGATTATAACAAATCTATCCAACGGATAATATTTTATCCAAATAATATTGCAACTTAGGCCATATACCCGGGTTTAATTTAGGGTTACACAATTTGGTTTGTCTCGAGACAGGAAAAATAGCCAAAATATTAACCAAATTCCATACACAATAAATAAATAATATTTATTTATTTCTTCCAAATTACTCTAATTAATTTTGTACACCGGCCCATCGCATTTTTACTCACAAAATAGATATCTGGCCCTATTTATAGCGGGTGGAAGTAGCGGTTGCAAGCAGTTACAAAGTGGTTTCAACCGCTAGATAGTTAGGCAGTTGATGGCGGTTATTCTGTTGAAGCAGTTGTTGACCATAACTCCCAGGGTGCTTGTTTCGCTTGTGTGAGCTTGTAAGGGCGCAGATCTTCCTTGCTTGCCGGATGGATGGAGGGCATCAATGCAGTTAAGCGGGCTTGTTTGCGTTGGCTAGTAGTGGAATGGTTGTACCGCTGCGGGTTGGACACTTAGGCGATATTTGCTTTGAGTTACCGTCGCTTCGCTGCAGTGGGTGTCTGGTCGCTAGCCTGAGTGCTGGAGCTATCGCTTACGAGCGAAGGTGGCTATTGCTTGCGAGCGGTGGAAGCTATCGCTTGCCTCTCTTGCCTTATAGCTTTTTCGGATGATGGAGTCATCACTTATAGGCGGAAATGACTACCGCTTGTCTCATCTGCCTTAGCTTTTCCGGAACCAAAACACCGCTTAAAAGGACAAAATTGTTAATAATCTCAAAAAAACCAACTCTGGATCATGCCAAGTGAGATAGATCAATAAAGTATGCTGTAAATCAGCTATAGTGATAGTTTTTATACAAAAATTCAAGTAATACGTAGTTTTGTCAAGCGGTGAATAAGCTCATATTTGGAGTCATCAAACCTCCTTACACTAAACCTTTGTTCGTCCTTGAACAAACTAAATTATGAGATCAAAGAGTTATTATGTTCACTGCAGTCAAGTATTGCTTAAAATTAGTGCCATGATTAGGAACAAGGTGAATCTCGAATAGAGACAATTGATCCTTAAGCATTCAAACTTTTCATTTGATCTAACATGAGAGAAGTTATCCCAGTATCGTCTACTTTGTTCACTTAGCAGGGATTATTTTTTTTATTAAGGAATTCTTCGGCCGAAGGGTGCGGAGAATTTATTTTTTTTTGGATCAAGAGTTTCAAACAAACATTGTGTCTGCTCATGATCTTATTTGAATTTCACGCACCTAGGCCTTTTCAGCTCCTTTGTAATGATAGGTCCTCCCCGCTTTGCTTACATCGTGTCTTAAACCATATTTAAGGATTTCTCTTTTCAAGTCATCTCTAGTGAGCAAAGTCGATAGGCAGAAGTTCGCTTGCCCTACTGAGTATGGGAAATTTGAAACGAATGGGGCACTAATCCTTACGAGACATATCCATTGTCAGTTAGTTTAACATCAATATTCACATTATTGATAAAGGTCGGGGGACGATTACTCAGTCTGGTGTTTGCAAGCTATCTAACTTTACTTTAAAACATATTACAGGGCTAATGCAGCGAGGTATTAAAAGTATCTCAAATAAAAACACATACTTTAGATTATGGTAGGCATACAATAAAGATAAATTTCACTTGTTACCGAAAAATTGTTGCATCGTTGATCATTGGTCTTTTGTACAGCCCTTGCCAATTCCAAATATTATGTACACGGGGGAGGACCCTACATCATTTCTTTTTCTCACCTGTGGGTCCTCATCCCGGAGGTAAATTCTTTGTCAGTTGCCGCACTAGCTCTTCCATTCTTTGGAGACTCTTCGTGGTATCAAGTTGTTGTTCCATAAGGATCGCGTTATGTTGGGTGATGGCTGAGAGTGCCTTCAGAATCTCTGTCTGAGATGCACCCAAGCTTGCAGCTTGAGTCTCCAACGCTTCTATGCGCGTTTCTAGTGCGGAGCTCGCCTTCCTGCCAGTGGTCAGTACCTCAGCCAAATTTCTTGCATGTGTATCTATCAGTGATTGGAGTATTAGTTATTGGTTGAGCATGGCTTCGTCGAGTTCATCCAGTCATTTTCCTAAGGTGTCAAAAGCGGCACGGGAGGTTGATGTGCTTGCCTCCATGGGTGCTGGTGACTGTCCCTCAAACTCGGTCGAACTAATATCCACTGGCTTATTCTCATTTGTAGAATTGGGTCCTAGCTCGGGAGTGACGTCCCTCAGGAACACAAGTTGCCTCGCTGCCTCTTACTCCAGCTGCTCTGCTCTCTTCCATTCCAAGTATCTATTGTATCGCAGCTGGATTTGAGTCAGCGGTTTCCAATATTTTAGCAACTTGGCCAACACTTTCATCTTCCTCTTCTTCTGTCGCTCACACTCTCACTTTTGTTGTAACTGTTGCATTGCGGTGAGCAGCTGAGCTTGTTCCTCTCGAAATTTCTTTTCCTCTTTATCCTCCTCCTCATCAAAGATTGTTTTATCTGATTTTTCTAAGACTGGAGTCAGAGTTTCTGCAGGTGTTCCAGTTTCTACTGGTGTTTTGGGACCGTATGGCATCGGCTCTCCTTCTGCCGTCCCGGTGTTGTCTATGTCGCTTGTGGAGACACCTATAGAATAGGAAGAGTTGTTATGACTGCCTCAACCTTTTCGATTTCACTGGCAGCTTCAACGGTTGTGGCAACGGGGACCTCGGCAAGTTGTTCTTTGTAAGCTTCCATTGTGACATCGATTCCGCCAATGGTTTCTTCAGTGATAACAGTATCCCGCTCCTCCTCTGGTCCAGTAACAGTAGGCTCCTCTGCTCTCGGTTGGTTAACGGGTGTGGTTTTATTGCCTGTTCCAGCAGCAGTTGGCTCACTTGCCCCTTGCTGGTTGACGGGGGCAGGTTTATCGTTAATTGGACTCAGTGGCTTGGGTGGCACCCTCTCTGTTGTTGGCCTCGCTGGTGAGGGTCATTCAGGTTGAGCGGTGGGTTCCCTAATGGTGATCCCTTTCCTGAGTCTGGACAGCAGGATTGTATCCTCAGTTGCTTTCTCTTCCACCGCTTTACCCTTTCCCTTCTCCTGCCTTGTCGCTCGCCGAAAGGGTGTTGGATTTTTCCTGAGTGCTACCTTCACCCTCTGCTTCTTCCCGAAAGGCTCAGGAGCGGGGTCTTCTTTCCGTTTTGACCCATTTTCACCTGCGGCTACCTCTAGGGCCTTTCCTCCCTTATCATTCCTGGTCTTTTCAGCACCAAATAGGTCCTCTTCTATCTCCCGAGCGAAGTGGAGGGACTCCTCTTCCTCATCAGCGAGAGTTTCATTAGAGACGGTTCGTTCTGAGTCTGGTCTTGCAGCGGCTTCTTCCAGATCGGCTTCGGGTGCCACTTCCTCTCTAATTATTTCCTCTGCCACAACTTTCATTCTTCTTTTTGGTGAAGGGGGAGGAACAACCGCTTTCGTCTTCCTCTTTTTCTGTTTGGGGATGAGGGTGAACCCCTTGGACTCTAGTCATGCTTTGTGGAAGGCCACTGGGAGCAACGGCTTCATTTGTAGATTTAGGGCTGGAGTGGGCAGATTGACGCCCACGCATCGGCATAGTGTTGTAATCAGGGTCCCGTAACCCAGCGTTCGTTCTACTTTTCTTCTTTCCCATATATCAATGCCGATGATCGCGCCCAAATCAATATCAGTTTTTTCCTTTAAAATTGAGCACAAGGCAAGGAGGAAATCGAGACGGATGTCTGTGGTGTGAGTTGTAATCATTATTCGGCTCAACGACCACTTGATCCATTCCTTTTTCTCTTCGTCCACTGACCCGAATTTCAAGTTTCTTTTGTCATATTATGGGGTGATGGCGAAGGTCCTATAAAGTGTCTGCAGTTCAAGTGAGCTGCAATCCTTAAATTGCCTGTAGCCTGCTCTCCATCTCCTGGGTGGGATAGTGGTGTTCCAAGCACAGGACCCCAGTTGATCTTCCGTGCTGAGCATTCTACCCATTTTCCTCGAACATATACATTTCGTAGACTGTCAGTTTGGCTCAGATTTGCGTAAAATTCCCTCACCAGTGACACATCCACTAGGTCCTTGGGGTTTTGGATCAACCAAGTCAGGACCGCTCCCTCAGCCAGTTGGCGTACGGGCCTGAGATTTTCTTGGGGTCAAATTCTCTCTCGTAGAGGATCTCCATCACTTTTGCCTTCTCATACACCGCCACTGCCTCGATGTTCACAAAATGGATAGAGTCATACTGCTTGGATCTCAACACATCCTTGGCAGTATCAGCGGCGTTCTTCTTTGAAATTTTCTCGCTTCGGAAGGCCTTCATCTTTTCTCTATCCTAGCGAGCGAATTCTCTCCTCAGCTCCTTCAACTGAAAGTCCTTCAACTCTTCGTAATCCAACCACCAGTCGCTCACCGGATACCTTTTGTTCTGTTTCCTCTGTGTATTTGAATATGAGGTAATCCACCGGGAACTCTGGGATAAATTTCCTAAATGCGATAGACTTAAGTTCTCTGAGCTTTCCCCAGTCCTCAGTTAACTCCAATAGCCTCCTCCTTCTATAGTATGCCTCCGGCGGTACTAGTTCCATAAATTCAGCCCCTGAGGTCGTAATTACTACATTTTGCCCGTCTGTAGATTTGATTCGTTAAATCCTTTTTTCAAATTTCTCCTCAATCCTCTCGAACTCCTTAAGTGACGCTTCTCGCTTGCTTGGATCTATTTTGTTGGCTTGTTCTGAACCTAGGTTTTTCAAATTTATATTGTTTAATTTGGGAAACTTATAAATCCTACCTTATTAGTTCCAAAATGCAAACAGTGTTCATATAACATGAAATAATTTGCTAAATCTCTATGATATGAACTCTAATTCCTCCCCCCCTCCCACAACAAAACAGAACACTCCAGTAAGTGTTTCGTTGCGAAAGAGGGAGAAAATCACAGAACAACAACCAAACATATAGATTATTGTAAAATTGATCCATACGAAGCAAGTACATCAATTATTATATCTAAATCTAGCAGATAACAAACTTAGATTCACAAAAATCGAAGATATAAAAAGTTTCGCAACAGTTGAAGCACAGACAGTTTGTCGTGAAAATAATGTGTGCTTCTGTGTTATTGTTCGTAAAATTAGAGAAAATCAACCGTGAAATCGAGGTTATAGACCAAGGTTAGCCTAGATCTTACCTTGGATTGAGCTAAAATTGGCTGAAGAATCGAGATTTTTTGAATTTTAGTGTGCGGAGAAATGGCGGTTGCTGAAGCTTCTTAAGGAAGTTACTGTAGGGTAAAAGTGGAAAATGGCTGTAAACTGGGGTATTTATAGAGGATACTGGCGCTTATATGGAGGGGTGAACGAAGCAGTAAACTGGTCCAATGCATATTAATATAAAGGTATAAAGGTGGGTTAGAGGGTGGGTGAGTGGTTAAAATAGTACTTCTAAATACCTATGTATTACACACAAGCGATGATGGAACGGTACAGGATGAGCGATACTGCTCTTCTAGTATGTATCAGGATGAGACAAGCGAAGCGATGGTTGGCTTAGGTTAAGCTTAGGTTCGAAGTTAAAATTCTAACTATTTTTCCTAAGAAAGTAAGCATTAAACTACTTCTATAAAGCAATAACAACTATTCTATGGAAAGCGCTAATTAAGGTTGTAAACTCTAACTACGAAAGTGGTAAAGAAAATTGTAAAGTCTAATGGCATTTTCGGGATAGGGCACTTTTGGATATCACTTGTAATTCTATCACCGAGCGAGTTTCTGCACCTCCATCAGATTAATATCTGCATTGGCCCACTGCAAAATAGGCCCTTCAATATATGGTTTCAATCTCGCTCCGTTGATAAGGAAAGAATCGTTTTCCCTGGGGTTGTCCACATTACTGATTCTTATGGCTCCACTCGGCAGAACTTGTCTGACTATATATGGCCCAGTCCACCGTGATCTCAATTTTCCTGGGAATAGGCGAAGCCTAGTATTTTATAACAGAACCTTGGATCCCTCAGTAAACTCTTTCTTCTTCAACTTCCTGTCATGATAGAATTTTATCATTTCCTTATAGAGTTTTGCGCTTTCATATTCAAGGTATCGAAACTCAGTTAGATCGAGCAATCATTCAGCACGCTTCTCCTACACGGGAAGGATATCAAATTTCAAATATTTGATAGCCCAATACGCGCGATGCTCGAATTCCAGAGGTAGATGGCAGGCTTTTCCATACACAAGTCTATATGGGGACATTTCTATTGGACTTTTGAAGACGGTTCTATATGCCCACAGCGCATCATCCAATTTCTCTGCCCAATTCTTACGACTTTTATTCACTGTGGTATAGAGGATATGCTTGATTTCTCTATTTGAAATTAGCACCTGACCGCTTGCTTGTGGGTGATAGGGGGTAGTTAGATGCTGACAAACACCATATTGTTGAAGGCAAGTTTGCAGCGCCTTATTTACAAAATGGGTGCCTTCATCGCTTAGACCCCGAACCTTGGAAATATAGTATATTTCAGGAAGCGGATCACGGATCGAGCATCATTTGTTGGGAGCATTTGCGCTTCGACCCACTTGCTCACATAATCCACCGCCACCAGAATGTATAGTTTCCTATTTGAGTTCGGAAAGGGGCCCATAAAATCTATCCCCCACACATAAAAAATATCAACAAACAAGACTCCAGTTTGGGGCATCTCATCCTGCTTTGAGATAGAGTCCAATCTGTGACACTTGTTGCAAGATTTAGCAAACGCATCAGCATCTTTCTATAGGGTATGCCAAAAAAACCTAACTGCAAAACTTTGGCCGTTGTGCGCAGGCCAGAAAAATGCTTTTGTACATAGGACTCATGACATACGTTCAATATCAACGGGATCTCAGATTCCGCTACACAGCAGCGGATTATCCCATCTAAGCTGATGTTAACAAATAGAGTTCATCCCAAAAATACTCATTTGTTAAACTGAGCAATCTCTTCTTTTCTCTTTGTATTTTATGCGCAGGAAACTATCCCGTGGTCAAGAAGTTTGCCAAGTCAGAAAACCATGGCTCCTTTGCTTGAACCAGGAACAGCTTTTCGTTATGGAATAATTCATTGATACCAGGAGATATGTCCTCTGCCTGCCTTAATCGGCTGAGGTGATCTGCAATGTAATTTTCCTTCCCTTTTCTATCCTTGATCTCTATATCAAATTCTTGGAGCAACAACACCCATCTGATGGTCTTGCTTTCGATGAGATATTGCCTGAATTTCTCGAAAGTGAAGACAATAGCTAGCAGCTCCTTCTCGGTTGTAGTGTAATTTTTCTGAGCAGAATCCAACGTTTTATTGGCGTAATAGATGACGTTCAGCTTGGATTCCACTCTTTGTCCCAGAACAGCGTCGACGGCATAATCACTAGCATCCATCATCAGCTTGAATGGCTCGCTCCACACTGGTGCAAAAATGATGGGAGCGGTGGTTAGCTTCTCCTTTAGAATGAGGAAAGCCTCATCACACTCGCTTGACCAGTCAAATTGAGCATCCTTGCACAGCAGTGCAGTGAACGGTTGTGTGATTTGACTGAAGCCCTTGATGAAGCGACGGTAAAATCCCAATGTCCAAGGAAACTTCTTACTCCTTTCTCATTCGAGGGCACTAGAATCTTTTCAATTACACTAATTTTGGATCTGTCTACCTCAATTCCGGCAGCTGAGATCTTATGGCCTAAGACAATTCCTTCATTTACCATCAAATCACACTTCTCTCAATTCAGCACGAGGTCAGTCTCAATGCAACGGAGAAGTACTTTTCCAGGTTATTTAGGCATCTGGAAAATGTCTTGCCATAAACCGAGAAGTCATCCATAAAAACTTTGATGTAGGAGTCTAGGAGATCACTGAATATATGGTACATGTATCGCTGAAAAGTGGTCGGGGCATTGCAAAGCCCAAACGGCATCCTCCTATAAGTGAACATTTCATAAGAACATGTAGAAAAGGTCTTCTCACAGTCGTCTGGCTTGATGGGAATCTGATGGTAACCTGAGTAGCCATCGAGAAAACAGGAGTATTCGTGACCTGCGAGCTTCTCCAGGCATTGATCAAGGAATGGCAGTGGGAAATGGTCATTCTTAGTTGCAGCATTCAACCTCCTATAGTCGATGTATACCTTCCAACCAGTGACAGGGCTTGTCATGAAAACCTCCCCCTTGTCGCTTGTCTGCTCAACGAAGCCTCCTTTCTTGGGAACCATCTGGGTTGGGCTGACCCACTGGCTGTCACTGATAGGGTAGATGATTCATGCATCGAAATAGTTTTATTACCTCATTCTTAACTACTTCTTGCATGTTTTTGCTTAGACACCGCTGAGGCTGTCTGCATGGTCGAGCATCAGTATCCAACCTAATATGGTGCACACACACCGTTGGGTTG